GATTTTGTAAGTTTTTTTTTTTTTTCTCTGAATGAGAATGTTTTTGCAGAATTTTCGGTAACAGTTTAGGTCAGACGAATCTGGTTGAATTTATTTCTCCTCTATCCTAATCATGTGAATGGATATTGTTTAAAAATTCCACCCTTTCCCCAAAAATGAATTCCAGTAAAAAGAAAAAAATTGGCATAAGGTCACACATTCCTTAAGCATATGTAAATTGGACTGAGTTAACTGAATCCCTTTGGACCGTGATAAAAGACGGTAGAAACAAACTATATATTTTCACAACTTCTTTAAAAAGAGATCAAACCAACATCTAAATCCCACTTTTGCGTGTCGCTATTTTCCTTTTCTTTGTTCATGACGACTTTATCATAAAGACTTCAGGACCACTAAATCTGTAATTAATTTTTATCTTAGCTCAGAAGTTCATATAATGATTAGAGATATCCCCGTGGTTTGTTGGATATTATTACAAGCTCATTGGTCCAAGCTTATACATAATTATAACAAAGAAACAAACATTATATGGATCATAATTTACAAGAAATGGTTTACATGAACGCAAATATATCACAAGACACCATCATTACTATGTTTTTCATTCAGAAGACCACATATAATGCACCTATCGAAACACATTCCCGAATTCGCCAAACATTCCAAAGCTCACCACCCGTTTCATTATACAATGACATATACCAACCTATTGTCAAATTTACAGTTAAGCCGATTCACAAGATACAAATTGCAAACAGAACAAAGGTGTGAAGATGCATAGCTGAGGTTGAAAGCAAGATGCTTAAGAACAAATCTCAACTGCAGCAACCTCCACCTTGGGAAGAACCATCTCTGCCGCCGGATGGGCCCGGGATTCCAGTGTAACCTACTTTTATTCCGTACGACTGTAGATTGTAAAAACAAATTATCCACAAGAATCAAACATAACTAAAGAGCAATAAAAAATTAGTTTGACTAATGATGAGGGAAAAATCGAGAAGAAAAAAGAAAAGAAATAACCTCATTTGATACGTCAAAAATCCCATCTTCAATCTTCTTGTATATTGTGGCGGCTGTTTTAATGAAAGCCTGCAGAAAATGTTCAACACACGAAAAAGAAAGAAAAACAAGAAAAAAAGAAGGAACGGATAAGTGCATATATTGATATGCAGCATATTGACTTTTGACACTCCTATTTAAGTATATTAAGATCGTAAAAAAGATTCATCACCTCCTCTACATTCTGAGCAGTTTTAGCGGAAGCTTCCATGAAAATCAACCCATGTTCTTTAGCGAACTGTTCACCTTCCTCTGTGCTAACGGCCCTTCTGTGGGCAAGGTCACATTTGTTGCCTATCAGCATAATTGACATGTTCGGATTTGCGTGCTGCCTTGCATCCTCTAGCCAGCTAGCCAAGTGATTAAAAGTCTCTCTCCTGAATGGAAGTAAAGGAGACAAATGAAGAAAACTACTACAGAAGGTCTCTTAATTTCTATTTGTATCTTTAAAATATGTCAAGTCCGAGTTATACCTACAGTATAGCTGAAGGATGGTGACTTCAGGTTGTTTCGAAAACATAAAAATAAGAAGATAAAAAGAACAAAGATGAACTGCATTAAGACCCAACACCTCAGGTACTGTGACTGCATATTACCTCGTTGATTTTCTAATAGTACACGACAAGATTTACAGAATCTGTCCTCACCATCAGATATTCAGGAGAGAGACACACGGAGAGAGAGAGAGAGAGAGAGAGAGAGAAACCATCCATCCACAACAAAATTCTATAGGTATAACCTATCAAAGTATAAGTTTATATATGGGTCACCGGTAGGGGTACTTCGTTCTTTTGACCGAGTTATGGAAATTCAGTAATAGATATGTATTTATGAACGTGGGTGGTCATAGTGGTAGGGTGGAAAAATTCCCTTAAACGAGCTACATTTACAGAGAGCAAAATATATGCATCAAAAACAGCAAAGCAAACAAATCATGTCCTTATAACAAAGAGTCAAGGAGGAAAAGGTGGTACCTGGTGATATCATAAACCAAAAGTGCACCAGCAGCTCCTCTGTAGTACGACCTGGTAATGGATCTAAAAGATTCTTGACCGGCCTGTAAATCTCAAACATAATCCAGTTTCATATACTAAACAGGGATACTCAACTTAACCAGCTTCAGAACATCTAAATAAGTACATTCACAAATCTATCATAGCACAGTGCTTCCAGACATACTTTAATATATTATGTGTAATGATAGCCATAACATTATTATAGGAATCCAAAAATTCATCACAACAGAACTATTCCATGGCACCTAACATACGAGGTTGCTAGTTAATGGATTTCTGTTTCATCATTTAGTCTCCAGTGTGAAATGGTTAGTATACTGCAATTGACCCACTAAATTTCCACAAACGTCCACAACCACTTTAAAATATAAAAGAAACTGATTACCAAAGTCAATAAGTTTTAGTCTCACTTATCATGACTATGATACAAAACCAGATACAAAACCAGATTCATAATGACCAATCAAAGCGGTTTCTTTCTCCAAAAAGCAAAAGGGAAAAAATAAAAACAAAGCCGAATGATTCTTAATATCTTTGCCCAGTATTCCCAGTAACAGCTACGAGCCCGGCACACAGAATTATCATATCAACCATGCAAACCCGATAACAAACCAATGAAGCATAAACCTGCAATTATACTTATAAAAAGTAAAGAGAACCTACAGTGTCCCATATTTGAAGCTTAATGGGCTTGTTGTCAATCGTGATCATTCTCGCCCCAAACTCGACCCCAATGGTCAAGTCATGCACTGGCTGGAAACGCTTGTCAGTAAACTGAAGAAGCAAACATGATTTACCAACCCCTGCAGAATAAAGTTTCAGGAAAAAACAAAAAATGAACGGAGATTACTAAAGCACAAACATGACGGTTGCAACACAAAAACTATCAATGCTTGATGAATTCTTTTAGTTCTTGTTCGATTCACTTCAGTATAGATTTTTGCTATGCCTGTACTTTCTGATGGTGCTACACCATACCAAACATCAATTCAGCAAACGAAACTTTACGCATTACAATTTATTCACAATCAACACAGCGTGCAATCAAATTAGCAGCACAAGAGACGCCGATCAATATGATTTCACAAAGTTCTCTAAATAAATTTATCGATCGTTCACCCATCTCTGGAAGAAGAAGAAGCAGAAAACAAAAGCTCGAGCGGTACAAACTACGTATATATGCAAACATAAATCAACCGTTGAAAAGCAGAAATAGAACCATAAACGCTACCAATAGACTAAATATACATCAACGGATCGAAAAATTGAACGGGTGAAAAGGGGGGAACCGGAGAAAAAATACCAGTATCGCCGATGATGATGTACTTGAAGAGATAGGCGTACGACATGTTTTCCGGCAATTGTCAAATCGGAATTTGGAAGAGAGGAAAAGGCTCTGATTATTTTTTTGTGTGATTAAGGGCTTAATTTAATTATAAAATTGGCAGCAAATATAAGTGACGATTGATTGAGATGGTTCCAGCGAAGCAAACTGGAGTTGCCAAAATAAAGAGAGTATCAATGATCAATCCTCATCTTGACACATCACGTAATGAAGACAATATTATTGCATAGGCCAACGATGTTCTATTTCTTAGTCCAGCTGTCCACATACAAAATAAAATAAAATATTATACATATAATGTTGACATAGACATCAACCACCCTAGAAAGGACGGTTTAATCCTAGAATAACGGGGTTATAGTGGTTAGAGTAGACATGTTCACGGGCCGACCCGGCCCGTAAACCGGTCCCGACTCCGCCTAGAGGCCGGTTCATTGAACCGGACCCAGTTCATTATTTTTTTATTTTGGTCTCGACGGGCTAGCTCGGGTCGGGTCGAACCGTGGTGTTGGAAGATGGATGACAGTGCTTTTTTTAACGGGCCGCACCGGCCCGGAACCGGCAAAACACCGGGGGCCCTTAAAAAATGACGGGCCGATTAAGGGCCATGAAGTTGAGACCCGCCGACCCGGCGAACCGAGCCGGTCCGTGACCCGGCCCGTTGACTGGCCACCCCTAGGTC